AAAAGCCAAACCCCTAATTTTACCGATTTTTTTATGTGGGAAACCTCATGAATTTTTTACGACACTCTCAAGCCAAGCCTTGGGTCAAGCCAAGCCTTGGGTCAAGCCAAGCCTTGGGTCAAGCCAAGCCTTGGGTCAAGCCAAGCCTTGGGTCAAGCCAAGCTTTGGGTCAAGCCAAGCTTTGGGTCAAGCCAAGCTTTGGGTCAAGCCAAGCTTTGGGTCAAGCCAAGCTTTGGGTCAAGCCAAGCTTTGGGTCAAGCCAAGCTTTGGGTCAAGCCAAGCTTTGGGTCAAGTCAAGCTTTGGGTCAAGTCAAGCTTTGGGTCAAGTCAAGCCCAAAGCCAAGAAAAGTGTGCAGAGCTTGGTTTTTTGGCTTTTTTGGAACAGCCTTGCCGTTGGGCTGTTTCATTTGCATAATTTTAAGACTGAATATACGCTGATTTCTGATATTTTAAGTTTTTAGGTCGTTTTCAGCTGTAATTGATGAACCATAATAGTTAGCCGATCTAATAAAGAATCGTGGTACAAGATTCACTTTTTGTAAACGATAATTTTCTTATTTTCTACAGTCTTTGCTTTGATTTATCATTTATTAACTTATCTTTCGCAAATGTCTCGTGGATTCTAGAGAATACTACACATTAGGAGCGGATTTATAGACTCCAGACTCTGATTTCAACATCGATTACTCACTTTGATACATATAGTTCCCTACTTCTCAACATACATAATCAGTGCGTTTGATGGATTCCAAAAATACATGATCTTATTAGCAGAAGAGGAACCATTCTTTCTCTGCAAAAGGTCATCGCTATGGACTCAATACAATGCTCAAATCAACAAAACAAAGAGTACCGCTGGCAATCAAGCAATCAAGCAATCAAGCAAAAGATCAAGTCAAATTTTTGGGTGCTTTCCAGGTTATGGATTGTTATGATTGTAATGGGACCTAGCTTTCTCTAGGGATAAAAGGATACAAGCTGCGGCAGATTGTGCCTACTTAATTAGCCTACGTAAAAGTAAGGGATGACTATGATAGCTCTAAAGCTAGATGGATAGGATCCCGAGCAAGATATACTATAGAGACTGATAACTAATATCAGCTAAAGTTCTAAGCTTTAACTTTTAAAGTAAAATCGAGAAGAATGGCTAATTGAATCAATCGTATAAAATTAGCAAAACGAGCTAACCAATTTTGTTTTATTGGTAGAGTTATTGGTAGAGTAAATTGTTAGCTGGATTATAAACAAGATCCAAAGTTTAAGACTAATAGACGGTGCGGCAGATTGTGCCTACTTAATTAGCCTACGTAAAAGTAAGGGATGACTATGATAGCTCTAAAGCTAGATGGATAGGACAAGATATACTATAGAGACTGAAGTTATGTATAACACCGGTTTTCTCGATATTTTTGCAAGTAAGCGCTTAATCTAATATTACTCACTGTATAGTAGAATTTTATGAGGAATCGAATGAAACCAACTGCAAGTCACTCGGACATCTGTAGGTCGAGATCTAAAACTCCGGCCAAAATACACTACAGAGGTCGGAGTTTTAGATCTCGACCTACAGGCTTCCGAGCGACTTGCGGTTGATTTTATTCGATTCCTCATAAAATTCTACTATATAGTGATCAATATTAGATTAAGCGCTTACTTGCAAAAATATTGAGAAAACCGGTGTTATACATAACTCCAGTCTCTATATACACCAATTTTAAGCTTTGGAGAAATTCGAGGAAAAAGAGAAGAGTGAAGAGCTCGATACCGAGCTCTTTGATCTAACTTTGACCTGCATTTTCTCTTTGTTTTTGTATTAAAGTGTAACAAGTAAGTTATGGATTTCTATAACAGAATTTTATAAGGAATCTTTTAAAATCAACCACAAGTTGATCGGTCAATTGGAGGTTGAGATATGAAGGAAAAGAGAAGAGTGAAGAACTCGGTACCGAGCTCTTTGCTCTAACTTTGACCTGCATTTTCTCTTTGTTTTTATATTAAAGTGTAGCAAGTATTAATTCGATTAATTTTGACTATTTCTATTGTCGATTCTCTTTCTTCTATTTTCCATAATTATCATATCCATCTACTCACCTGTGACAAGAACATTGAAAAAGCTTGTATGAAATGAATAACGTAGCAGCAAGCCAAGTGTTCCTTGAAAGCTGAATCAAGGAGATACGAGAAGAATACTCGTTTCAATGTGGCAAATATGCCAACAAGCGACAGAAATGAGAAAAGCACTTGACACGACAACATCACTTTCAAAAAGCCATTCGTTGAATATTTAGAGATATCCGGGCAATCCATCGTCAAAAATAATTCTCCTTGGCAGAATCACGGGTTTTTGGCTATTAGAAAAAGAAAGCGTGAATCTTTTCAAGTCTGCTTTTCAAAATTGATTAATTGGAGCGTTTGTATTTTTTCGATGTCTTTGGGGAATCCTCTTTTCCTTTTTAAATTTTAGTTTCCCATTTGCATATAATTGTATCCTTTTTAAAAGGGGTTTTGAGCTGGTTTTGAGCATTTTTTGTAGCTGACAGTATTATGTAGTTAGTTGATTTGTTGTAGTTTGATTCAAAACTCAACAACAACAACAACAACAACAACAACTGGACAAAACTAAAGAAACAATTAATCAAAAATATAATCTATATTATTATCGATAACCGCTTGCCATCTCTCCCCTAATCGAGCTATGGCCTTGCAATAAAAAGGCAAAAGCTACTCAACTTAACGCTTAAGCTTGTTAGACATCATCATCTCGGCTGAGAATCAAAAAAGTTCTGGAGCAACAGGGCAAGATCCGCCTCGGCTCCGAAATCAACACCTCTCAATGCATCTGCTGATCTGCTGGAGTTCTTCAATCATGGAGCCGAATTCTCAGCTCGATTTGTCTAATTGCTTTAGTTATATGTCTTTTTAAAGAATTTTCAGAAAAACTTGAATTTTTGCTCAAATTCGTCTCAAAAGTTGCCGAAATTTGCATAAACATGTCTTAAATTAGATAATATATAACTTTTAGAGGAGTCTAATTCAATTGGCGTATTAAAAAAGTTTTATAGAAAATACAAAAAGGTGTACCAACATTCAAGTTGCCAATCTAATACAAAGATTAGAGCTGTAAATAGCAGAAGCAAATTTGAAAGCTATTTATTGTTGTATTTTGTGTTTATTTGCAGTTGTTGTTGCTGTATGTTCTCATTTTTTGTTACTTGCACAAGGTTGGGCAGTGCACAAGGTTGGGCAGTGCACAAGGTTGGGCAGTGCACAAGGTTGGGCAGTGCACAAGGTTGGGCAGTGCACAAGGTTGGGCAGTGCACAAGGTTGGGCAGTGCACAAGGTTGGGCAGTGCACAAGGTTGGGCAGTGCACAAGGTTGGGCAGTGCACAAGGTTGGGCAGTGCACAAGGTTGGGCAGTGCACAAGGTTGGGCAGTGCACAAGGTTGGGCAGTGCACAAGGTTGGGCAGTGCACAAGGTTGGGCAGTGCACAAGGTTGGGCAGTGCACAAGGTTGGGCAGTGCACAAGGTTGGGCAGTGCACAAGGTTGGGCAGTGCACAAGGTTGGGCAGTGCACAAGGTTGGGCAGTGCACAAGGTTGGGCAGTGCACAAGGTTGGGCAGTGCACAAGGTTGGGCAGTGCACAAGGTTGGGCAGTGCACAAGGTTGGGAAATCCCCTACGTATTCACGGAAAGAATGAAAGTGAAAGGGAAAAGGAAAGCTTTCGAGTAAAGGGAGAACTGCAAAAGAAAAACAGCTACCGTAAATACTGCAATACCCTCCTCGTACAGTCGCGTAGTCGCAAAAGTTTTTTCGTATTTCATTTTTTTCAAAGCGCCCGTACTTTCAAAAAATGCGTCTTTGGTATCAAAAAATAGCTGAAACTCAGGCCTATTTTTTGATACCTAAGCGCGCATTGTAGCATAAACCAGTGTCGAGAAAAACTCGTTCAAAGCTAGACTACGCAACACTCCGCACCGTCCGTATGGGGGTGGGGTACTATTACAGTATTTACGGTATTTATTTTTTCTTGGAAATGTATTTTTAAGTCGGTTTCTTTTCAAAGAAATGAATATAACTAAAATCATAATCATTGCCTTGGTCTTTACTTCAAAATTTCTCTTTTATTCTTTTATTCTTTTGCATTATGCTAGGATTCTGACTTTTTATCACTTAAGTTTTCTTTTCAGAAACTGAAGTCAAGAACGGACGATTTTACATCTCATTTTATCCGTTCTCTTTTTGTGTTTTTGGTCTTCACTGTATGGAAAATAGATTTTTCCAAATTTGCATACTTTAGTTACACAGATAGACTCAAAATTTTTGTGCTTAAATCCCTTGGTCACGGATTTACACCGCCGCTTGGTCACCGATTTACACCGCCACTTGGTCACGGATTTAATAGAATGTTTCAAAATTGTAAAGGGCAGGCAACCTATTCCTCTTTTTCGAGATTTATTCAAAGTTAATCCCACGGTTAGTTCAAGGAAAGGTTCTTTCGTTTTAGGAATTCCAGTCACCTCCAATAAGTTTGTGTATAACTCTTTTCCAATAAGAACTGCCAGAATTTGGATTTGGAATTCGAAATCGACTCCCCAGAGCTTTGAGATGGTCCAATAGTCTCGAAACCTTTGAAATTATCTGTAGATGATCTTGATCTTGAAGCTCTAGTGGATCCTTGACGTTATCTGTGCTACCCATATATTACTTCTATTATATCGTGTTGCTTTTTATTGGCCCTTTTCGTGTTATGCGTATGAATTCATGTGTTTTAATCTCATATCTAGCGCGCTTTATCTCAGGTCCTGAATAAAGTATCTATATATTTAAGTTTTCTTTTCAGAAACTGAAGTCAAGAACGGACGATTTTACATCTCATTTTATCCGTTCTCTTTTTGTGTTTTTGGTCTTCACTGTCTTTTCACCTGTTTTAAGGCTCTTAAATTCAGCAATCAAAAGGCTTGCTCTTTGTTTATTCTCATGAAAAAGGCAAAAACATTAGCACACATGCACATAATGGTCACTGCAACACCACGAATCCATATATCCTTCCGAGTATTCACACGTACCACACATGCAAATATCACAGCAAAAGCTTCTCTTGGAACGGATCAAACCATCGGCTGAAAATCACAAGTTCACATTTTACAAAGAGAACATTAAATTTGACAAAGAGAACATTTTATTTTCATGCTACAGTCGAACCGCTTTATAACAACCCTCGTTATAACGATAACCTCTATATAACGATGCTCCGTCCCCGGCAAAGGGCTCTAAAAGAGGTTATCGAGGCTAAAAAAACCTCGATAGCCTCTTTTAAATCTCTTTCATAACAATTTCTCCAAAATATTAAATATTTTTATTAATTTTTATTTTATTAAAAACAAAAATTCGACTATAATAATTCTTCTTTTTAGGCGATGATTCAAGAAAAGGCTCTCGAAGGAGTATCGATTTGGCGTTGACGAAGCGAATTCTTGACGCATCACTTTCAAAAGGACTAACTCAAATGAATCTGGTCTTCAATGAAGTCAACAATTTCTACGATTATACGATCACGCGTACAAATTCAAGAGGCAATTGACAATGGATCGCAAGGAAAGCGCGCGACTGACTGTCTTTACGCGACAATGGATCTACATTACAAAAAAGGCTAAAGGAAAAGTTATGAATGGTTTTTGAGAAACCCATGAATCTATTCAATTCATCGTTATTTTTTCGCATTTTAAGTACAAAATTTTGAGGGACGCATGGTGCCCACCTGGAGAGATCAAGCTGGAAGGTCAACCACTAGAAGAAGTCACCTCCTACACCTACCTCGGAAGAAGCATCAACATGGAGGGAGACCTAAGACCAGAAGTCGCCAGAAGAAGACGAGCGGCCTGGACAGCACTAGGAGGCATCAAAGAAGTCACAAAGATACTCAAGAATCACCAGAGAACTCGGGCACACCTCTTCGACAGCACCGTCCTCCCGGCACTCTGCTACGGGACAGAGACCTGGGCCACGACACAGACCACTGAACGAGCCCTGAGAACGACGCATCGAGCCCTTGAAAGGAACCTCCTCGGGTGCAATAGGAAGACGCAGCTCGACCAAGACCTAAGAAGTACGGATATGCGCCAACTCTCGGGACTCAGAGATCCAGTGGAAGTGATTGAGAGAAAAAGACTCAGGTGGGCCGGCCACGTAGCCAGAAGAACAGACGACAGATGGACGATGCGGATCACAGAGTGGCTACCACGAGATCAGAAGAGGCCCATCGGAAGACCCACAACGAGGTGGAGCACAAGAGTGGCAGAGAGGGTCAGAGAAAGGATGGCTAGAGTGCAACCACCACCAGCACAAGCAAGTCGAAGACTTCGAACCAGGAACAATCAAGATAGGAAACACTGGATGACAATAGCAAGAGATAGAGAAATGTGGAAGCAGGTTGTGATCTGCGCAAATAGGAACACCTGAGTGCGAAGACAGATCAAAAAAAAGTACAAAATTTGACAAACTTTGCTTGCTTAGAGCATACAGGAAATTCCGAAACTCAGCCATTCACTCACCTTTTTTATCTTCACGAGGTTTGGGATCAATATTTGGATGTTCTTGATCCTCTTGAGTGGACACCATCACCAAAAGGGAAACAAGAAGAATTGCAGAGGCAATCATTGTAGACAAGAAGAAAGATTTATTTTGAAAAGATCAATTAGACCTTTTGGAAGTTCGCAGGGGAAATTTCGCTCGTTTTATACCATTGAATTTTTCTGTATTTGAATAGCAATCGCATTCAAAACAGCCACAAGCTCGTGTCTCTGTGAAAACAAAAGTACAAAAGCCAAAAATAAAGTTGCAATAAACCAAATTTCAACATAAAACGCGAAAATACTTATTGAAAATCGTGTTAACGCCGCCGGAGTCAGTAGAAAAATATATTTTGTAATATTAGGGTGACAAGGTGACAACTCCTGGGATTTTTTTTGAAATGGCCAACTTCAGCCAAAGTCAAAAGCTTTTTCTTTGTAGAGAAATATAAATTCAAGTTTACTGTAAAATTCCGGCCTTCTGTTTCAGTATATTGGGACTAATAGCGCCCAATTTCTTGCGTCAGGAGTCAAATTTTGGCTTTCGTTATCGAAATTCTACCACTTCTTAATATTATTGGGTTGGGGAGAATGAGTCGGCGCCGAAAATGAAAAAAATGTCTAAAACTTCTATTCGACTTCGTCAAATAATATGCGTTTGATATGAGTAGAATGGTTAACTAATTCTCTACAAAATGACATTTAAAAGAAAATTCAAACAGCGCCTCCGCTCAAGAAAAAGCCATTTTTTCACAAAAACTACAAACTGTGATCTAGAAAAAAACCATTGGTGGGATCTTCCTGCAAATTTGGCAACTTAAGTAATTGAATGTGCTCTATCTTTTTTATATAAACACCAAAGAAGGTTTATGTGAAAGAAACTGTTCAAATGATGAGTCGGACTCTTTGCCATTTTAACCAGCTGCGTTTGGAAGTTCATAAACTCCACGAAAGAAAAGCTTCGTGGAATTTCTCAAAAGTGATTTTGTAGAGAAATAGTGGATCCTTTTGACTGAACCAAACGTATGTTTAAAGAAGGCTTTATGTGTGCAAAAAGTCCCTTTAAAGTTCGGCGCCGACTCATTCTCCCCAACCCAATAGAATTTACCATTTCTTACTGTTAGAAGGAATAGTAAGGGTTACTGTATCTTCTGATTACAGTGTTGTTCAAATGATTGTGGCCGTGAGTGTCTGTCGGCCGTTTTACCCGGCTGTGTCCTACTGTCCTACTATCGGGATATTTGCGAGCTCTTCATCAACTCTCATCCCCATATCCGCCACCCGTTCAATGCACAAAAAGATGGGCAAAAAGATGGCCGATGCACAATGTGATATTCGAGCAGGGTTTCAATTTTAAAATATTAAAACAAAGTAGAAGAAAATAGAATCTTCTGTGGTCTATTTTCAAGCCTGAAGCTTGAAAATCTTTCAACCTGAACCTGGATTTCAATCTGAAAAAAGTCTGAAGTTTATCAGCAGCTCAATATTAATCAAGTCTCAAAATCAATAGATCAATGACACTTTTTCGTGAGGCCAATTTAGAGGAGCTTATTTTGCACACAAGTGTTTTAAACTGGTGTTGTGGTGTTGGCTAATTTTTTGATATTTCGGTGCTCAAGGGTTTATAGATGTTTCTCAAAAAGACAAACAGGAAAATCTCGTCTAATCGTCGCCAAATTCAAATTCCAAGAAGAGCAACGAGATTTGTTGCCATGTATTTTTCGAATGTGATCACTTTCCCTCCACTTTCACTTGACTTAAAATTTCCTTGGTCAATTTAATCGTTTAATTCTTTCGTTTTAAATTCCTCGTCTACCATTCTTTTTATTCTTTAGCCATCTCACTAAATATCACTCAAATCTCACAGGAACTTCTAAATGCGGTTTTCTAAATGCGGTTTTCTAAATGCGGTTTTCTAAATGCGGTTTTCTAAATGCGGTTTTCTAAATGCGGTTTTCTAAATGGCGGTTAAAAAAGCGGACGCTCAGGAATCCATCGGGTCATCGAAGAACCCAACCATAAAACGTTGTGTTGTTTGTGGGAACACTCCAGCCTACAATGTTTATTGTTCGATGGCTTGTGAGTGAGAGAAAAAGCTCAGGCTCAGGCTCTTTAAGTCCATAATGATTTTTGTCTTGAGTTTTGTCTTTTTTCTAGTAGTTCCAAAAATTTCTTCATGAGAATTGAGACTTCGGGCAAAGAGACATCGACTTGCGCAAACGGAGATCAATGCGGTGGGAACTTTCAATGCTTTTACATAGTCTTACGAAGCTGAATGTTCATTTTATGACTTGCATACTCAAGATTTAGTTTTACTCAGTGGGAAATGCAAAAAAATGTTTCAGAATCACCCAAATGTCTCGCGTGTCCACCAGAGCCCAAATGTCCACCAGAAATGCATTAGAAACGTGTCCACCAGAACCCAAATGTCCACCAGAAATGCTTGAATGCTGGGATGGTGTCTGAAGGTGAGGGGAAATTTTGATTTGGCTACAATTTTTCATCCACAAATCTCTAATCTGCTTCCCGAAATTCTCCAATTTTGATGAAATTTCCAAAATCCTCACGATTTCTCAAATTCCCTGGCTATAGTAGTCGGTCGTCGTTGCACAATTCGCGAGAAAAGAACCAATGTTGGGTCACAGCCTCGGAGTAGACTGAAGAAGAAAGTGGGCGATGAGGAAGTGGACGAGGTGATCGTCATGAACGGATTGAACACCAATTATAAATTTATAAGTTTCCAATGCAAATTTCGTAAATTTTTAGTGCTAATTCCTTCCTAGACTAACCCTTCCAGGAGTCGCTGACGATGCGTGATCCTAGCGCAATGAATTCACAAAATTTGTGAATCACAGCCAATCATATATTACATGCAGATTTTGGGGAAGTATGACGGTAGTGATTAGACATGGGCGAAATCCCATCCGAGCCGAGTCGAGTCGAGCCGGCTCACCAATCCGAGCTCGATCCGAGGCCGAGCCGAGCCGACTCGAGCCTCAGCCGAGATCCGGAACTTTTAATACACTTTCCCATTATAAATCTATAAGTTTCCAACGCAAATTGCGTAAATTTTTAGTGCTAATTCCTCATTCAACATTGGGAATAACAATAGCAAATTGCAATAACTTTTTTTTGGATAGGCCAATCTTCAATTTTTTTTGTTTTGAGATCAGTAAACATTCAAAAACATTTGCTAGCAGCCGGATTTTTGATTTGTAAGAAAACATTTGATATTTTTTGATTGATGTGCGGTGGTCACTGGACGAATAGCAATGACCAGACGAATAACAATGATTCATTGATTCATGATGACCACCATAGTGTCCCGTTCCCCATCCGGATGAACACGGGGGATATGCTATAGGCATCAATCCGGACGGGGAACGGGGAATAGTGGTGATCATCATCAATCAATAAATCATTGTTATTCATCTGGTCACGGCTCCGATTATGAAGATCTTTCAAATCTGGATTTGTTTTAGAATTGTGCGTTTGTATTTAAAATCTTATTTAATATGTGCAAGGTTGATTGGAAAGGTTTTAATGATGACCATGATAACGCGATGAATGATGATGGTGGCCTGAATATCCTCCATAAGAATTATGACATGTGTGACCTCCATAAGCTTGATGATGACCTCCATAAGATGGATAAACTCCATGACCTAAAGATACAAGTATTAAGAATATCCTGTCACTTCACAAGCTTGATCACTAGCCAAACCTGATCACTAGCCAAACTTGATCACTAGTCTGATCACTTTGCTCAAGACTACAAGGTGACCAAGAATTACCGAAACACACAAAACGTCTGGCTTTTAGCCAAATATGCAACCCATCTCGAAAAGTTGACTTAAATATCTTTATTAATCCAATGGGTTAAGATCGGGTGGTCACTCAGAAAACGAGATGAAGTCCGGGAAGGTCTCTGAACAAAACTCTTGCACTTTTTTTGCCTTGAGCCGGCGCACTTCCAGGGCGATCAGAAACTGTGCCCAGAGTTTCATAACGTTGAATGGTTCGAGAAACGAGGCTTCTGGGGACATTCAGGCGCTTTGAGATCTCGCTCGCCTGAGATCTCGCTCGCCTGAGATCTCGCTCGCCTGAGATCTCGCTCGCCTGAGATCTCGCTCGCCTGAGATCTCGCTCGCCTGAGATCTCGCTCGCCTGAGATCTCGCTCGCCTGAGATCTCGCTCGCCTGAGATCTCGCTCGCCTGAGATCTCGCTCGCCTGAGATCTCGCTCGCCTGAGATCTCGCTCGCCTGAGATCTCGCTCGCCTGAGATCTCGCTCGCCTGAGATCTCGCTCGCCTGAGATCTCGCTCGCCTGAGATCTCGCTCGCCTGAGATCTCGCTCGCCTGAGATCTCGCTCGCCTGAGATCTCGCTCGCCGCTTGAGCTCAAGGATCGATTGTCGATGTCGATCGATGTGGAGACGCTTTCAACATTCCTGAAAACAACGATACTAATGTATTGAAAGTTAGTGATCCCTAAAAAGTTAGTAATACCATAAATTAAGAAAAATACACAAAAACTATAAAAACAGGTAAGCAAAAAGTGAAATGGGGCTCATGACATTGAAATGGGGTTCATGACATTGAAATGGGGCTCATGACATTGAAATGGAGCTCATGACATTGAAATGGAGCTCATGACATTGAAATGGGGCTCATGACATTGAAATGGGGCTCATGACATTGAAATGGGGCTCATAACATAATACCACTATTGTTGCTGTTGCGGTAATTCTTGGTCACCCTGTATACTTCCATGATACAGCTCAAAAGCGAACCCATATTTGAATGACCTTCATAAGCATAGCCGTGACCAGATGAATAACAATGATTCATTGATTCATGATGACCACCATAGTGCCCCGTTCCACATCCGGATTGATGTCCATAGCCTTTATGCTCACCATGTCTCTCACCAACATAATAACCGCCGTGTCCCGCGTGCTAAAGTTATCTTTAGACAGTGCTTGAGGAGCAGTTGCTTTTAAAGTTTGAAATGCATTGTTTTTAAAGCATCAGCATCAGCATCAGCATTCATTCAGCTGATTCAAAAGCTTAGCAAAATATGGCTAGAGTTGTGATCAAGAATGGCGAGGAATATCCCAACTGGTTCATAGCACTTGTAAGCCAGACCAGGTCCTGACAGAACCTAGATCAGGTCAGCGAAGCCAAGCAAGACTAAAAACCGGGACTGGACTAGGCTTCAACCCTAACCCTGACCCTGGTCTTTCATGAGGCAAAGCCTGGCTTTAAAAAGTATTTAAGTAATCCAGAAACTAGGCCAGAAACCAGGCCAGAAATTAGGCCAGAAACCAGGCCAGAAACCAGGCCAAAAACCAGGCCAGAAACGAGGCCAGAAACTAGGCCAGAAACTAGGCCAGAAACTAGGCTAGAAACTAGGCCAGAAGCTAGGCTAGAAACTAGGCTAGAAACTAGCTCAGAAACAGGCTAGAAACTAGGCTAGAAACTAGGCTAGAAACTAGCTCAGAAACAGGCTAGAAACTAGGCTAGAAACTAGGCTAGAAACTAGCTCAGAAACGAGGCCAGAAACTAGGCCAGAAACTAGGCTTAACTCTTTTTTGCAGACTCTACAAAAATAACTCTTCTATTTGACATATTTAGAAAAATAAAGCTTAAATCTTTCCATAAAAATAACTCACCATCTTTGTAATCAAAAAGAAATCAATAGATTTGAGTGTAAATGGGCTTGTTTTTACCTGAGAGAGTCGAATTTATACTCACCTTTTTCAAAAGAAGAAAAGAAAATGAAGAAAAATAGCGGCTGAACAAATAAATACATCCTATGATACATCATTTCTCCCATTTCTTTACCCTTTTTATGTTGTTCTCTGAAGGGGTTTCACAAGGATCAAATGACCATTTTAAGAGGGGTTTTTCATAAAGTATAATAATTTAAATTTGAGAAAAATATTAGAGCATGAAAAAGCCAAAAACTTCTGTTGAATCAGTGTTTAAACAACTATTTACTCTAGAGATTTGTTAATAAGTTGAAACTTTGCAATGATTTCTGAAACTAGATTGACTTATTGCACTACATAGACTGTAGATAGACTTATTGCAAACCTTGACACAAAAAAAGTCTTGAGAACTAATTCTGTTTTGTTACAATGGTTGCTACAGTTCGACTTACAAGGGAATGGCCACGGTGGGGATTCGAACCCGCGGCAAAAAGGGCAATGGTTTGGTCTCACTATCCACTAGGCCCAGGGGTATCGTCAATGGAAAGCGGGGGAGGCGACTTAACCTCGCGCGCCCGTTTCCCGTGTAGATGCCCTAACTTGCAACACGTTTTTCTCGAAAACTAGTGCTTGTTGGCCAAATCCGAAAGCGTCATCGTGTTCACCGTATTTGGCTTGTGTTTGCACCTCATTTTGGTGCCGCAGTCCAAAGCTCGGAGTCGGAGTCCAAAGCTCGGAGTCGGAGTCCAAAGCTCGAAGTCGGAGTCCAAAGCTCGGAGTCGGAGTCCAAAGCTCGGAGTCGGAGTCCAAAGCTCGGCAATGCCTTCCAGAATCCAAGACGGCAAATGGAAAGCGGGGGAGGCGACTTAACCTCGCGCGCCCGTTTCCCGTGTAGATGCCCTAACTTGCAACGCGTTTTTCTCGAAAACTAATGCTTGTTGGCAAAATCCGAAAGCGCCATCGTGTTCACCGTATTTGACTTGTGTTTGCACCTAATTTTGGGGCCGAAGTCCAAATCTCGAAGTCGGAGTCCTAAGCTCGGCAATGCCTCCAGAATCCAAGACGTCCGTCCAAGGATTCGAACCCGCGGCAAAAAGGGGCATAGATTTGGTCTCACTATTCACTAGGCCACCGGGGTGTCGTCAATGAAAAGCGGGGGTGGCGACTTAACCTCGCGCGTCCGTTTCCCGTGTAGATGCCCAAACTTGCAACGCGTTTTTCTCGAAAACTAATGCTTGTTGGCAAAATCCGAAAGCGCCATCGTATTCACCGTATTTGACTTGTGTTTGCACCACATTTTGGTACCGAAATCTCACGGTCACTTCTGACCATTCCCTTTTTGATTTTAATCATACAATAGTCATACTTGTAGCCTTGTAATCATGTTGAGAACTGTTTTACGTATGTCCAATGCAATCAGAATTGTGTTTGATGATTCGATAATTAAAAGTTTATTAGATTTATTAATTCAAACTTGTAAGTCAGACTGTTTACAAGGAGATCGAAAAATCTCAAGGTGGCGTATCACAAGTTGCACTGTATCCTTGATTCAAGCATAGAGTGTAGGCCCAAATTGATCCCTGAAGCTAGTTGTTGATTGATCATCGCTTGCTAGCGTTTACCTGATATTTGTAGTAGTTCGCCGAGTCACCAGGAGCTGCCACAGAGTCACAAGTGATCGGCATTGTGTTCGTTGTGATGTCCTGACTGCAGAAGGACACGTTTCTCAGAACGTTTCCATTCTAAAATTCGATAGTGAGTTGAGTTCGTTTGAGAGTGAATTGGGGAATTTTCAACTATCGTTGGATCGTGCGAAGATCATGCGAAGGCTACTGTTTCAACTCGAATTTTAAAACCGTTTACTAAAAGATGACATTCTATTGTTCTATTTCTATTCTTCTAATTCCATTCCTCTAATTCCATTCCTCTAATTCTATTCTTCTAATTCTATTCTTCTAATTATATTCTTCTAATTCCATTCTTCTAATTCTATTCTTCTATTTCTATTCTTCTAATTCTATTCTTCTAATTCTATTCTTCTATTTCTATTCTTCTAATTCTATTCTTCTAATTCCATTCTTCTAATTCTATTCTTCTAATTCTAACCTTCTAATTCTATTCTTCTTGCGACTCTTTTTATTCGTTTACTGTACGAATTACTGTAATTGTGCCTTTATCAAGCGATTTTTTTGTCATTTTCCTTTTCTTCAAAATCATTTTCTACTACTTAACCTGTTTAGATAAAATTTCCGTTTTTTGAACACTTTCAAATCAATTTCAAGCGAATTGTATTGATTCCAATTATATTCGGATCAATTTTGAAACAATGAACACAAATTTCACATCAATATCCGCAGAAAAAGGGATTTTTGGTTCTTACAAATACCTCATCCCAGGATATTTGATTAACCAGCGTTGTGGAATTCACACCAGTTGCGGCACAATGGAAAGTGGTTGAAAATGGAGTGCAGGTGCTAAAATATACGTTCTCTTGTAGATAAGTAAAACGAGTAGTTCTAACTTGAGACCAGTAGGTATAGCTGGATATGGCTGAGTGGGTGCTGGGTTGACTGAAGTCGCCGCATTGGGGCAAGAGCATTGAGGGACTAAAATTGCTTAAAGTTTCCTAAATGCAAGATTCAGTTGCCAACTGGTTAGCTTTATTTTCCTTTAAACTTGACTTACGTGTAGTCGTGGTGGTAGTCGTGGTGGTAGTAGTGGTCGTCGTGGTCGGATTCGGATCGCATTCCACAGCATAGCCCATGTTCAAGCACAAAGAGTAAGCCCAGATTGATCCCTAAAGCATTTCAGCATTGAAGCATTGAAAACAATAGAATTGCTTCCACACCTGATACTTGTAGTAGTTCACTGAGTCACCGGGAGCTGCAATCGAGTCGCATGTGAGCTGCAAAGCATTTGTTGCACTGTCCTGGCTGCAGAACGAGACATTCCGCAACACGTTTCCACTCTGAATTCAATTTTACTAGATGCGACATACAGGATGCGTCAAAAGTTTCGTCACCTCCGTATTAATGCAGAAAAAGACGGGAAAAAGATGATTTTTTTTTAGAGAACCTAAACTCAAATTAAACTTACATCATCCCAAACCACTTGATTGATCAAAAGGGTTGGATCAACGCCAGCACTTTGACAGCTGAAGGTGTTCGAGAATGGAGTGCATGTGCTAAGCCCTGTCGGTTGGGCAGTGAACGGTCCAGTTGGTGCTGGGTTGACGGTCGTTGCGATAGTTGGACAAGCACAACTGGGAACTAAATTTCATTTTCCTATCATAAAACTCAAATATCAATATAAAGTGCACTGGAGATTTGATCGAATTGTTGCTCAACTCACGTGTGGTGGTTGTTGTAGTGGTTGTTGTGGTGGTAGTAGTGGTCGTCGTGGTGGTAGTGGTGGTAGTAGTGGTCGTCGTGGTCGGGTTCGGATCGCATTCCACAGCATAGCCCATGTTCAAGCACAAAGAGTAAGCCCAGATTGATCCCTAAAGCATTTCAGCATTGAAGCATTGAAAACAATAGAATTGCTTTCACACCTGATACTTGTAGTAGTTCACTGAGTCACCGGGAGCTGCAATCGAGTCACATGTGAGCTGCAAAGCATTTGTTGCACTGTCCTGGCTGCAGAACGAGACATTCCGCAACACGTTTCCACTCTGAATTCAATTTTACTAGATGCGACATACAGGATGCGTCAAAAGTTTCGTCACCTCCGTATTAATGCAGAAAAAGACGGAAAAAGATGATTTTTTTAGAGAACCTAAACTCAAATTAAACTTACATCATCCCAAACCACTTGATTGATCAAAAGGGTTGGATCAACGCCAGCACTTTGACAGCTAAAGGTGTTCGAGAACGGGACACATGTGCTAAAATTTCTCTATTGATCATAAAATCCTTTAGATCCTTAAAATCCTTTAGAACAAAGAGATTCTTTACCTGAGCCCTGTCGGTTGTGCAGTGAACGGTCCAGTTGGAGCTGGATTGACCGCCGTTGCAATAGTCGGGCAAGCACAACCGGGAACTAAATGTATGCATTACTTTTGTTCCTCTAGCCTCAAGGTACAGAGCTCAAGGTACAGAGCTCAAGGTACAGAGCTCAAGATACAGAGCTCAAGGTACATCTGCTCAAGGCTCGAAAAACAGCTACTGGTAACTTTCAAATACTAACGAGTGGTGGTGGTCGTAGTTGTAGTAGTTGTCGTCGTTGTTGTCGATGTTGTTGTCTGACAGTCGCCTTTACTGCACGTGTATTTTCCCATATCTGTGTACACTCCGCCAGTCTAAATTCTTAATGAATTTAGAATCTAAATTCTTATCTCCAAAAAGTGTTTCTGATTTTAAACTCACATTCTTAAACTGCCATACTCCGACCGAAGAGCACTCGAACCTTCCAAAGAGATCGTTATCGATCTGAAGTAAGTAAGCAAGTATTCTTCTTACTCTGTTATCTTCAGATATCATTACTCTGTTATCTTCAGATAACAGAGTCGAATACTTGTACTTTAATAATTCTAGTAAAAAACTGATTAGCTTCTCCTTTAGATCTATTATATTTTTAGCTTCTTAGAGCTTTGGGTAAGCTTAGCTCAAAGCTAAGCTTATTGAATACTTACAAATCCACAATGAGTATCGTCATAGAAAATTTGCGTGGTTAAATCAGTGGCGAGCACTTCGAGAACAGCCTAAAAGTACACTTTTCATAAAACCGCTTGTCTTTTGTCTTACCGCTTGTGTGGTTGCATTGCAGCTCCAGCCACAAATCTTACAGCCAGTGGACCCATCAACTCTAGAACTTGTTATCTTCAAAAGGATTCTGAATTTTCTTACAGCACTGATCCTTGAATCCAAAACGCGTCACCGTTCCCGTTAATAGCATTGAGTTCGGCTATTGTGCATGATTGGCAATCTGGAATCGATACTAAGACTTGCTACAATGAAATGCCAAAT